GTTCCGTAATGCATCATCCCGCAACTAACTCATTAGTCACATTGCTTGCAAGGCTTATAGTGATGTGCATTACCGAGAGGGCCTAGAGATACCTCTCCGACAATGGGAGTGACAAATCCTAATCTCGATCTATGCCAACTCAATAAGTACCATCGGAGACACCTGCAGAGCACCTTTATAATCACCCAGTTACGTTGTGACGTTTGGTAGCACACAAAGTGTTCCTCCGGTATTCGGGAGTTGCATAATCTCATAGTCATACGAACATGTATAAGTCATGAAGAAAGCAATAGCAAAATACAAAACGATCAAATGCTAAGCTAACAGAATGGGTAAAGTCAACCACATCATTCTCTAATGATGTGATCCTGTTAATCAAATGACAACTCATGTCAATGGCTAGGAAACTTAACCATCTTTGATTCAACGAGCTAGTCAAGTAGAGGCATACTAGTGACACTTTGTTTGTCTATGTATTCACACATGTACTAATTTTCCAGTTAATACAATTATAGCATGAATAATAACCATTTATCATGATATAAGGAAATATAAATAACAACTTTATTATTGCCTCTAGGGCATATTTCCTTCAGGGCAGCCGTTGCCGATTGGCATTCTGGATTACTCACGCCTAGATCGCAATCTCGAACAGCAACTGCCCCCCCCCCCCAATGATCAAATGCCCCTGGGAAGACTGGTGCTATGTCATTACCTGCTATTTAGAACTTTAAAGGGTACTCAATCATTGTGCAGGGATAACTGATTTTTTTTGGAAATTATGATGTTTTTATAACCAATTCGGAAACTATATGACCTAATGCATGATTTTCAGAACTATGACCCCGTCGGCCTCTATAAGGCCGAAGACCAGCTTTTCGGTCAACCGTAGGCCGACGAGCGCTCTTCGGTCTCCTGTTGGCCAAAGAGAGGCGGAGCTGGGTCGAAAAGTTGTTTTCGGCTTTGTTTAGGCCGAAGAGTGTACTTCGGTCATCTTTAGGCCGAAGAGTCCTCTGGGGCCAGCCCTTCGCATAAATGTGAGGCCAAAGTTGCATGGCAGCTCTCTTCGTCTTATGTTAGGCCGAACTATCTTTTTTAAAATTTGAATTATGAATCCTATACAACCATTCCCCATCTTAGACATTAGAAAGCAAATACTTTTCGGCAACCCTTTCCCTCCATATGTTCCGCCAACTCAATCCCGCCAACCCTTTCCTGTCGTTCTTTCCCGTCAACCCTTTCCCTCCATATGTTCCCGCCAACCCTTTCCCGCCATTTTTTTCCCACCATCTTCTCTTCTCAACCTATAAAAAAACATCCACACTAAGGTGGGTAAGAAGTCCAGTGTAGTCTTGTCAAGATGTCTGATTATCCTTTTGATCGTAGTTTTCACCCTAGGATGAGCCAATGTCTTCTAAAATTAGCCGGTGATTTAAGATAGACAATAGGATAGTTCCATGGGACGAACTCCTCAGTAGTGACACCGTACTGAGTGAGTTGGATCACGGACCTGCTTCTTCCATTTTTATTCCTTGCACGGGCCTGCATCTTAGTAGACTCATCAAGTTTTGACCAAATAAAATCGTATTTGCGCTGCTGGTTCTGTTTGCATAATTTTTTAAACAAGTTCATCAACCGCTTGTTCTTGAACTGTGAGAAAAAATTAGACCGAAGATGGCGCATGCACCACCGGCTCTGCAAGTCCTTCCAAGGTGTTGGTTCGTCTCCAGTTTGATCCCTCAGTGTCTTGACAGCCATCAATATATGAGCATGTCTGTCATGAATGGCACGCACGTTTGGTTGGTCCTTCACGATGGCAATTTTCAATTACCGGAAGAACCATATCCGGCTCGAAAGGTTCTCACCCTCCCCAAATGCTATAGCAAGTGGTATGATTTGACCGTTCTCATCCACACCAATAGCAGTAAGGATTTGCCCTTTATACTGACCAGTCAAGAATGTACCATCCACAAACATCACAGGAGGACAATGCCGGAAAGCTTCGATGCACATAGTGAAAGAGAAGAATACTCGTTTCAACACCTTGAAATCTGGTATACTCGGCAATCTCGTGTGTTGTACATTAACATAAGTGCCAGGATGCCTCTCCTTCAATATGTCGAGGAGACGGACAACATTATCATGAGTCGATGAACGTCCCAAACCTTTCCTCTGGAGCCTTCTGCTTAGCCCTCCAAGCCTTCCCATAAGGAATGTCATAATTCCATCTGACCTTCACTGATGTCTGGATGTGTTTTGCTTCCATATCTTTCTTCTCCACTACCTCAGTATACATGAGTTGCGCAATGAGAGTTGAATTCGGGTTGGGATGATTCATCAGAAGGTTTTTCCTCAACACAATTATGTGGGATGACATCAGTGACAACCCAGTGGATGTTATACTTCGGCATGTGCCCGTGCACCTTCCCAAGACAATCTGTTTCAACACATTTTACGATATAGTTTGTTGGACTTGATATGTGTGTACGGAAAACCCTCTGCGTAGACATAGCCCACTTTATCACCGTATAATTCAATTTTTTCTTTGTATCATACATAGGCCCTATCTGTAATTGGTTCAGATTATACTGTCATGGAGTCTCATGTCCATTGTTGACTGTAAGGCCGGTCGATATGTCCTGATCTCATGCAGAAGGAATCGGTACCTCCACTTCATCCTTGGAATTTTCATAATCCAGACCCTCCGCCAATCCATCCTCCTCCTCTTCCTCTATCACCCTCTGCATTTCCTCCCCTTCCTCATCCCCATCAGCAAAACCAGAACCAGCTAATATTATTGACTGACCACTCTGTACAGTATCATGACCACACACATTGTGTGGCACGTAATCTGACTCTTTCTCGGGTTGGCTAGCATCCACATCCAGTGGTTGTGACCCGGATAAATAAATCTCGTTGGCCACTTGATTGCCCTGGCCGGGTTCATACCCCACGTGGAGTTGTATGGTATTCTTCTTCTTTGCCACAGGTTGCACTAGGGCATGTGGGTGGATTCTTCGGTCTCTGTAATGCCTTAACAGGGTCAACCGCTGCTGGCTCCTATCTATCAACATCAACTCCCACTTAACATTTTTACATGATTTGGTCCATGATGCATGAATACTAACGGAACATACTTTAGGATCCAACCCAAAATTGTAGTCAACCAGTACCTCAACTGTCTAATGTCCAGTCTATCCGGGTCTGAAAGTGTCATGACACAATTTTTATACTCGCTAAGATCAACACTCAACTCATTATATCGAACATTACCAGGGCCATAGTAAACAGTCAAATTTACTGATTCAGACATTTTCACGTGTCAAACATTTACATCTTCTCATTAATCACAATGAACAAAATTATTACCCGCTACACTAACTAACCGCTAAAATGCCACCACGGACAGATTAACACTCGAAGTAAGCAATATGACTTATCTACACTAACTAAATTGTACAACTCGGATAAAATTTGTGACAACATGGTTATACCTTCGACGCATGTGTCCCTTGCTTCTTGCTCCTCTCTTCAACTCAGCTGCACCGGCCACCTCGCGGAGTACTTGCACCACCGAACAACAACACCGCCGCCCCCCTTGGCTCCCGAAGGTTGGCTACCCCCCAAGTCGCACCTCCTCCTCACTACCTCCTCCCCAACCGCACCTCCTCCTCACCACCACCTCCTCCCCAGCCGAACAACCTCCACCCCACCATGGCTCCTCCTCACTTGTACGCGAAAAAACTATCCCATAGGAAAAAAATGATCGTAGGCCGCCGGGGATGGCTACGGTCTACTCTTTCTTCGTTTTAGATGCGAAAATGGATGAAAAAGGGAGGAAATCGGCGCGGGGTGGCGAGAGAAACAAAGAGCAACAAGAAAGGAAGAACTGGGGAGCGAGAGGACGGAGAAGACCCGTTCGGCCTTATCCCGACCTCTTCGGTCACAGGGTGGCCGAAGACCTTTTCGATGTTGGTAAGCCGAAGACCATCTCTTCGGTCGCCAGCCCACCGGCAGCCCCTCTTCGGCCAACAGGAGAACAAAGAGCCCACATCGGCCTAGGGTGGACCGAAAAGTTGCTCTTCGACTTATAAAGGCTGACGGGTGATAGTTTTGAAAACATGCATTAGGTCATATAGCTTCCAAATTAGTTATAAAAAAGTTTTAAAAACAAAATCAGGATAATTTGGGTTTCTTGCCAGCAGATTGCACGATGACTATTCATGTATCTGATTTGTTTGTTGATGTGGTTAATTTGCATGAGAGCAATCACAAGCCTCATCATTAATATCACACATCAATTGTAACTACTGTTATTCACGTGCTTTTCATCTTGTGCTTGCCATCTGAGGCCCCAGTTACAGGAGAAGACAAGGATTTAAGAAATGCCATGTTAGACGTCTACGCGGAGGCTGAACTCCAATCCAACGGTTCAGAGTGTATCCAACGGCTCACGTCTTAAGTTAATCCTACCATACATATTGGTATATATATATACTGAGCTAAAAAGCCACTAAGACAAACAGATTGCATAGTGGGCAAACATACAAGGGCACAAAACATGCATCCACGGCACATATACATATACA